AGTGCTGCTGCAGGACTGAGGATCAGATGAATATTTCTTTATTTTCTTCCCTAGACTAGGGGTAGCCCCACTGCAAGTGTTAATACATAAATACATAAATCCAGAATCCAAATTTACAGATTGGTTAACATGTAGTCTGACTAGACTGGGCATGTATGGGAAAAGTGTTTAATCCTCTCACGCTGCACAATTTGAATATACATTGCAAGAAGTAATGTTAATGTATTTTTGTAAAACCTGTAGCGCTCACCTCCGAAGGAGCCGCTGAATGCCCTGTTCATCTCTAGTCTGTCTAGGGGATGATCTTCAGCTGCCCACCCATTAGCATTAACCACCCTTCTTCTAGTGCCCACAAACTGATGTTCACTCCAGTAGTATAATTCAGAATAACATTTTATTGAACATCTTCAGCGGGGAGAGAGGGTATAGGGATTTTAAGCCTCCAAGGTATCACAGACATAAGCTCCAGACTCGCCAGACCTGGTTGGCATATCAGTGTAGATCCACTTGAGAGGCAACAGATAGCAACTGAACTAGCGGATGAGCAAGGATGAATATAGATTCTCAACAGGAAAGACACCGGCCATGCTCCTGAAAGTCCTTAGGTTCCAGGAAACTTCAAGAGCCATCATTGGTCCTGGGTCTCTTCCTTTCCAACTAGACAGACCTCCTTCATGTTGGAGGCCTCAGGGAAACATTTCTCTCACACCAGCCGAAGCCCACCCCCAGGCCTTAGGCCTAGCCTGGGCGGCTGAGCAGCACCAAGTCCTATTCCATGGCTGGTCCCGGCTAGTCTGAGCATATGGCAAATCCCTCCATTATATGTACCCTATCCCAGCATGCACCACTGGTTGAGAGAAACCCAGTGATTGGCTGCTATACTGCACATACACTATAGCATCTCTCATTGGCTGTCTCACAATATGACAGAGTCACACTCCGCCCAGGGGGGTACAGGCAATGTTGGACACCTGGAATTAACCAAATAACTGCCACTATAATTTTAGCCAGGTTGACTGCAGCCTTGGCTATCACTAGATGTCTAGTAGCAACATCACAGAAGGTGATGGGGGCTACACCTGTTAAAGGTGCACTAACCTTTTAAGCGCAACCAATTGTGGAGTTGTTCACTTACACAGTATTTCATAGTCTTACCTCTAGTTCAGTCCTACATGATGATTAATTGAGTAGATAATAAAGCAGTTATGTCTTAAAATGTTCTGTTCATGTCCTTTGCTACTGATGTGTTGTGTAACATTTGTTTGTTTATGGTATAGGTATACGTTGTTCTACATGTTGTCTTACCTTCTCTTGCTTCATAAAGATCCACTTGGAATCCCTTTTTTGCAAAGAAGCATGCATTTAAGCTGCCAACCTACACAATATAATATATGAAAAAGACAAGTTAATGTTAATTGTTCCCGGAATAGATGTAACTTACCAAGATTCATTGTCAAAGTGCTGAAAAGTCCGACAGTGTCATAGGTAATACTTGAGTCTGAGAGTTCACAGGGCACACAGAGATCCATATAAGTACATATTTACACAAGTAAATGAATGTTTGAAAACAAAACAAAAGAAAAAATGAATCATCCCACGTTATTTTCTTATATTATAACACTGCACCTGTCCAAAATAGTTAAGCCAAGACAACAGCCCAGCTTCTTAAGGCCTTTCATATCCATCATATGCAGAGAGCTGAAGTATATACGACTTCAGAGGTTTCTGACAACCACCAATCAGACTCAACCCTACCTTGAAAATGTAATTGGTGATAAAGGAAAGATAATTAGAAAATTACACAGTTCTAGCTTTGGGAAGTATATTCCCAGTTAACCTGTGAGGTACTTTCTAGATTCTGGCTAAAATGGATAAAAATAAACTCGGAAGGCAAACTGAGCTAACCTTCTGACTTTAGCACAGTTGCAGTGTTTGCTGGATAGCATTAGTATCTAGCTGGTTTCTTTCAATAGCTGTCTGAAATTGCTGTATATAAATTTTCCGGACAGAGTCCATCTGAGATCAAGACTTGATTTCACAGGGAGATATTTTTCAAAAGCCGTTTAAAATTCCATAGAGGGAAAATGAAGTCAACTTGCTTTAAGTCTTAGAGCTGTACTCCAGGCATATGTGAAGGCACATGTTAATGAAGCTCTGTATTCATTATTAGATCAGGTAATGTATTTTTTTTCAATATACATTTTTATTTAATTTTGTCAGCGTAACAAAGCAATGCACATAGACAAGAATCTGAATACAAAATTTACAGCAAGCAAGAAAAGAAAAAACAAAAAGAAAGGAGAAAAGAGGAACAAAAGCAATATTCAGTGCTTTAACCAATCATAAAGGCAAAAGACTTAGTGGTAAAGAGATTTTGAGTACCACATAACCCACAACTTCCAAAGAGCATAACATTTAGACATATTCGAATTACGAAATGCAAAAATCCTTTCATAGATGGACCAGTTGTAACACTTGTTTAACAGTAGGGGGTTCAGTAGATTTCCAGCACTTCGCTATTAATAACACTGGTCAACAAAAAAACAGCGGTTTTAAACTAATTTCAGGGTGCTGATTCCAAATCCGATCTCAGATTTGCTCTATCACATCTAATTTTTATGCTACCGGCATACCCCATTTTCATTGATTTTACCCTAAATTAACTCTTTGTCACTTATGATTGCAAGTTGTTGCAAGTCAGTGACTGCTTTAGTGTTAAAATATGGTGCTGTATTTTTAGGATAGTGTGTTTATAATATAATTTTATATAGATATCCACATTTATTTAATATTTTCCTTCTGCGGGGCGTGATCTAACAATGGCTACAACATCCGAAAGAAGGAAATGCAGTAATGACCCAGATATCTTCTGCTACATCTGTGGCAGCTTCACTTTGCAGGATCAAAGGCGCAACATCATACCTTTGTCAAGAAGGTTTATCTTGCCTACTTTAAAGTACAACTTGGAGACCAAGACAAAAATTGGGCTCCTCACAAAGTATGTCAAACCTGTGTTGAAACTTTGCGATCATGGTCTAAAGGAAAGAATGCTAAGCTGAAGTTTGGTGTGCCAATGGTTTGGAGAGAACCTACAAACCATTTGGATAACTGCTACTTCTGCCTTGTCAATGTAAAAGGTTTCAATAAGAAAAATTAAACAACACTTACAATGCCCAGATATCCCATCTGCCAGACGACCAGTTGAGCACTGTGAGGAAATACCTGGGCCTGTATTTACTGAGCTACCAGAGATTGATGTTGAATCCCTCAGTTTACCTGCGCCAAAAACATGGTGTAAAGTCCCAACCTGGCCACAATTCCGCCAGCACAGGTTAGAGTGGGCAGGAGAGCACTTTGCCAATCTATAGGGAGTTAAATACCATTGTAACGTGACTTTCTGAGATATTTCCCATAGATTAACACAACGTGAGACAGATTATATGTATTGAAGAGCTGTAACAGACTTACCCGTCCACGGTCCAGCGCTGTTTGGAGGGGACGCGCACGGCCAGCTCGGCTTCAGGCTCCTTCCATTCAGGGCCGTCCAGGACGGCAGCCAGCTCCTCCCATTCAGGGCCGTCCAGGACGGCAGCCAGCTCCTCCCATTCAGGGCCGTCCAGGACGGCAGCCAGCTCCTCCCATTCAGGGCCGTCCAGGACGGCAGCCAGCTCCTCCCATTCACGCTCGGCGAGGAGGGATTTAAGGGAGCAGATTTGGCTGTTCGGCGTCCGACCGTTGTGAACGGTGCACGCCGAACATCCCATAGGAGTTACTGCTTCTAGCATCCTGCACCACGAGACCCAACAGTGGACCCCACAACCGCAAGTAGCCAAGCAAACCACATTGTAGTGAGGGGTCTTGCTGCCACAGACGTATTGCTCATACTGGGAGATCTGTGAAGGTTTAATTGTACTGCTGTGCTGGAGGACTTGCTGTACAGGTGGGGAGTGTTGATTCAGCCAAGGTCTGCCTTGACTCTCCTGCTGCTGACTGTTAACCCGCTCTATGCTGGTGACTCCCGAGGGAGCTGTGTCTGTGCCTGTTAGGTTATAACCTGAACCTGGGACTTGATCTGGGAAAAATCTCTATACTCATACGTATTGTCTGAACCTGTGGAAGTGACTTTGTGTTGATCTATGTAGTGATACCTTGCTGTGCTGTGACTGCTAACAGGACGCAGGGGATCTGCAGAACTTAGTTCACTTTAGCTTGTGGAGGATTAACCAGAGACGCATGTACCTTGATGTGCTGTGAATGCTAACAGGACTCAGGGGATCTGCAGAACTTAGTTCATCTTAGCTTGTGGAGGATTAACCAGAGACGCATGTTGTACACACCTGCCCTAAACCTACTATACATACCAACACAATAGGTTGCCCAAGTGACGGGGGATGATGTGACTGACTCCAAACCCTCCATTAACCACTGCATGGAGTGTGAAGGAAGGAGTCGTAACTGAGCCCCGCCAATACATTAACTACCTCCGCAGTTGAGTGTCCAGACATAAACACACGGGTCGTTACAAGAGCTATGCTCCATTGTTGGGTGGTATAAGTGCTATTCAGCTCTTTTTCCCATTTGAGAAAGGGTATTGATTTAATAAAGAGCGATTTGTCTTGTAGGATGTTGTAGATTAAAGAGATACCTTTCTGTAGAGAAAATAGGTGGTGATAGAAATTCCAGACAGTGGTAAGGACTTGTATAGCAAATGCACCTCCTTTAACGAGTAAATGTTTAAGTTGCAGATATCGCAATTATTCTCCTTGCGGTAAGGAGTAAGTTGTTACTAATTCGGAAAAGGGGCAGATGGTGAGACCTCTATAGAGATATTAACCACTTGAAGTCCGTGGTTTTTACACCCCCTTCCCATCCAGGCCATTTTTCATTATTCAGCGGTGCGGTACTTGGACTGACATTTAATCCGTCATGCAACGTTGTACTGAAATACATTTTATACATTTTTTTAGGGACAGATAGAGCTTTCTTTTGGTGGTATTTAATCACCACTGGGGTTTTTATTTTTTACTATATTAAGGAAAAATTACCGACAATTAAAAAAAACTAAATTGTTTCTGCTTCATTAAATTATAAAACATTTATTATTACCCAATTTTTTGTAAAATATAAGAGATGGGGGTCACGTCTGGTAAAAATACACCAAACATGTCAAGCCTTAAAATTGCGCGCACGCGCGAAACCTCAAAAAACTACAATACCCAAAATTGGCCATAGGCGACGCTTTTAAAAGTTTTTACCGCTCATTAGTTTAGTGTTATCAGTGATTGATGGCCCTAAAATGATTGCTCTCATTCCGACATTATGTAACATGTGTGGCGCAATTGTCGTTTTCGCGCGCTGACGCATCTGACCCATTTTTACATTTATATGTGCGTAAACATGGGGGTGGGGGGACTTTAAAGTTTTGGGGTTTTTTTTGTTTGATGTAATACACATCACTTCTGCATTCACACTACGGAGGGAGTTCAGCAAGGAGGAAGATGCTGATCTTCCTCCTGACGCCCTCCCGAGCCGATCCCGGGCCGCAGATGGGCTAGCGGATGTCGGGTTTGAAGGTGAGGAGTCAGGAGCGAGGGCGGCAGTTTCACTTCAAAACACCCCATACAACCGATCGGCGGCTATAGAGCCGCTGATCGGTTGTATGAGAAACAGCCGGTAAGGGCTGTGCTGAATGTGCGGGTTTATACTGCCCAAAAAAAATATTTTTTATTATTTTTTTATTGTTGGGGGGCTTCGGGGAAATATTAGGGGTCTAAACAGATCCCTGACATTTCCCTTTTGAAATAGAAAAAGAGATTGAGGACACGGAGGCCTCTGCCCATACAGGTGGGGAGGGCAGCGGGGATCAGAGGAGAAGCTGGAGCCTGTGCCTCACTCGCCCCATGGTAGCTACAGCCCTGCCTCTATCCACTGTTGTATCTCAAGGACTGTGTACTTAGGATCACTACGTACTTGCCTGTTACTCCTGTCAGCTCTAGTATTCAGGAACACATGCACTAGTTCCTTATCCGCTATTACTGATCCTGTGTCTGGCAACCCTGGTCACATGACTAAAACTACAACCCCCATGCTGCTTCACGTCAGTTCCCAGGGGGTAGACTGAGCTTTGTGTCTATTAACCCCTGCCATCGTGCTAATACTGTTAGTTATACCTCAATAACATATCGCATCTGCAAGAACACTACAGGTCTCATCAGACCACGTATGCAGTGGATTACAAAGGCTCACCGGTAGTAGGAGGAACCCCTGAACTCACGTCTTACTGTAGGGCAACTATTCTGGCCCATTACTCAATCCTTATTTTTCTTTTAGTAGTCGACACATTTAAAAAGGTAGCGCATACCCTGCCCTACGTTG